TAAAATATGTATTAGAACATAAAAGAGGGAAAGCATGTATATGTAAAGCATGTACTATAAGTTATTGTCGTTTTATGTACATAGTGTTAGTAAAAGTCTAGGATCAATTGTTTCCTCACGTTTAACTTTATTCTAAATTTATAATAAACGCATTCATTAAGAAACTGAATTGAAAACAATAACAAAATCTTTAAAAAATTACGCAAATCAAACCAGTTAAACTTCAAATCTTTATCTGAATAAGATTCGGTAAAGACCATAGTATAGTGTCGTTCTCGTAATTTAAGTATGAAAGTAATAAATACGCTTAATTTATCGTTACTTTATCATATGAACGAACAATTTAACCACAAAATCACCAAGCTGCCTAACTTCACGATACAGTAACTCGATTTGTACCAAAATTGTATTCACACTTGGCGCCTATAATATAATTTTCTCATATCAATTTGAAATTCAATTTTGGTTATGTAATACATTTTTGATATTTCATTCCCTCCATTTCATATCATTTTAGACTAACCGCGCCAAGATTCCTTACGGAATATTGGCATCTCATGGGAAAAAATTGATAAAATATTGAAGTTTAGTAGAGATTTTATTAAAGAACATATATATATATATATATATATATATATATAAGAACCAAAGGATATACATACATATCACTGATTGAAAATACTAATTTAAAACCTTATCCTCATACGAAAGTTGGACACAAAAAAACTAAGTTTAAAAAAGTCACTATAATTAGTTTAGACCTGTGTCTGTCGTTGACAAAATACATTCCAAATTACATTAACGAAGAAATCGAGAGAAAAAGAAGCAAAAATCCCAATGATCCCTCTTAGTAAGTAAGTATAAGAACCGTATTGAGGATTATTAGAAATAGAATGTTGTAAACTTAACATATTGTTACATGACTTGTTGTTGGAAGGTTGCCAAAAATCATTCAAACTGATGAAGATATTGGTTACAATTTATATCGGGAACTAAATCTTCCATTCCATTGGACACTGTCAGTGCCATTCTAATTAGTTCAGACTTGAAACGTTTATTGAAACGTACTTTTCCAACAAATTGTTACAACGAGGGTTTTCGTTAAATACAAAGTAAATGGAAGATTTAATTATATACTAGTCAAAACAAAATAAGGGCCACTTGTTTATTTTGACGTTTGAAGCGATCTAATAAATTTTAAGCTATCGGTTCCGGTTAAGTTTTTTTGTGGCGTTACATTAAGTGTTGACAAAAATTATGAGAGTATATCACTTACTTAATTTTTGAAGTGGGTCGATTATGAATTTTTTTATCGAAGTCACTAAAAATTACTCTATTTGAAGTCGACTTTTTGAGTCATTTAAAATGTCGAGTTCTTGGTAAACTGCAGGAATTCTCTTTGTTAGTGCGTGATTATCATTTTTAAAGAACAATGCCGAAGATTCGAAGACATATGGATATACAGATACCAGCTGTGGCCATAACGCTGATTCAACAGGGCCAATCGCAGCGTTCTGTAGCTCTCCAGCTGGGTTTTTCACGGCGAGCAATCCAGAATGCTTGGATTAGGTTTCAAGAGACTGGGAGAGTTACCAGAAGACCAGGATCAAACAGGAGTCGAGCAACCACAGCACAGGAAGACCGCTACATACGGTTAACTGCGCGCAGAGAGCGAGTCGTCACCGCCCGTTTCTTACAAAACCGCTTGCGCCAAGCGACGGGCACCCGAATACGTGACCAAACGATTTGGAATCGGTTGCATGAAGACCAACAGTTCTCTAGACGACGAGTAGTGCGAATTCCACTGACATCTGCACATCGTGCAAGGCGATTAACGTTCACTAGGCAGCACCAGGCCTCGAACATTGATGACCGGAGCAAGGTATTGTTCACAGATGAATCCAAAGTGAAATTTTTTAGTGATGATCGTCGCATTAGAGTTTGGAGAAGAGAAGGAGAGCGATTTTCGGTTGCTTGCATACACGAAAGTGACAGATACGGGGGTCCCAACGTAATGGTGTGGGGCGGAATCTCACTATCAGGTCGAACCGAGCTCGTAATTCTCAACGAAGGCACGGTAACGGCTCAACGGTACATTGAGCAGGTCATAAGACTCCACGTGGTGTCATTTTCATAGAGAATTGGTACAGGATTCCAATTAATGCATGACAATGCCCGCGCTCATACAACTAGAGCTACTGCCGAAGCACTAGAAGAAGCTAGTGTACAGGTGCTTCCGAGGCCCGCCAATAGCCCGGACTTTAACCCTATTAAGTACATGTGGGATTTATTAAAAAAAAGCGTTCGTGACACAAATCAACCGGTAACTAACGAACGACAGCTCACCAACGTGCTAAAGACAAGCTGGGAACAAATCCCTCAGGAGACAATACGACACCTGGTGGAGAATATGTTTTCAAGGCTTGAAGAATGTGTTCGAAAAAGGGGAGGACACACACGTTACTGAAAAAAATAAAAGTTTCAACAATTGTTCAGTTTTTTTTAATAAGACACTTTTTTCATATTGTGTATTTTAGGTTAAAAAGTCGATTTTTCCAAAAAAAAAAGAAATCGATGTTAATTTTAGAGTAATAAAACAATGTCTGCTGCTTTTTACATTAAAAATTGATTAAATAATTTAATCTAATCATTTTCATATCCCTAAATCCCATATTTCTTTTAATCCACTAAAAAAACATGGTGGCCCTTATTTTATTTTGACTAGTATATTATCATTTCAAGTAAATTAATAAGCTACTTATACCTCTATACTTAAATAACATTAAGACAATATTGTTTAATATAATTTGAAATTTTTGATAATATTTATGTAATACATATAATAATGCAATTTAATATTTTTCAGATATACTGTCTCTCTCTCTCCGTAGCAATTATTATTCCCATCTGCTGGTGGGGTTTGCCTTCCTGGTCTTTCTCTTCCACTTCGTTCTGTCGGACGCGTCCTCTTCGGTAACCTTGCACAACTTTAGATCTTTTTTGACCACATCTGTCCATCTTGTCTTTGGCCGCCCTCTGGGTCTGGACCCCGTGATGTTCAGATTGGTCATAACATTTCCAATATAGTCAGGAGGTCTTCTTTTTATGTGCCCATACCAACGAAGTCTGCTCTCTTGAAGCTTGTCGGCTTGTATATTTTTCGGATATACTACATAACTTATTTTTGTAAAAATATACATACTCCCGACGTTTCAGGTACTATTTAGCAACCGTGATCACGGACAGACGAGATGTGAATGTCTGTTAGTTGGTCTTGTTATTTATCATAATGTCAGGATTATGTAGTTTTTTACAAGAATAAAGCACGCGTAGTAATCCGACAAATATTAGTTTCATTTAAATCGTACTACGTCTATAATGTTAAGAGTAATATAATATTGGTTGGTCTGTGTAACTCAATACGCTGTCAAAACTGATCAGTAACAACCGGCCTATATTCACAAAACAGAAGCTAAAGTGGATACATATGTTATCTTCAGCAATATATATGTATGTTCAATTACATATATTACAATAAACTTTGATTTAAAAACCACGGATAAACAAATGGAATTAAAAATAACAAATTGAAAGTATAGTTTGTTTTTGTTTTTGGTTATACATAGAATTTTGAATTCATTTTCCAATGCTCTCGATGTTAATCAATTTGATTGAAAAATTATGGAAAATTTCTATGAAATGAAAAGAAATTTGAGAAAATGAATGTACGAATCACTCTCTTATTGCCTCTTATTTCCGTTTCTTTTTTTAAGACCTTAATTATTCGGATATTTTCTTACATCGCAATCAGATTTTTAATATCAATTGTCATAAGCTTTCAGATGAAATAATTAATTCGTTAGATATATATATAATTTATCTAACGCTTCTCGGAATAAAGGGCATTGTTATCAAATGCTCTGTACAATACGGACGGAAATATTCTTGTCGATATAAGAATGAGCATTTTAAATGGTAATGACATCCGTTCGTTCCAGATCACTTGATTTTAACCCGATACGCTCCTTGGAAACAATGCTTGATCCCGTTATGAGGAAATAAACTCTTGAAATCATTTAACATTACCAACTAATTATACTTTATTTATATCTCTCATAATTAACATTATTGGTATATTTTTAATAGATATAAAATAGTGTGATTGGATCTGCTTTCGATTTTTAAGCTTAAAACTAATGTACTTATCTGACTCCGGAGTCAGATAAATGCATTTGTTTTAAGAACTGGAACAGCAAATAGAGTTTGATATACAATAAAAGGAAAACAAGTTTTTGTATCTATACAGTAAAATGAAATAGACAATCTTTTGCTTTTACTATTTATTTATAATGTTATATAATATAAAAGTCATTTCATTCGTGTATTTTCTAAGAAATAAATTATATTAAAATGACGTCACAAGGTCAACCAAGTATTGTCATCAATACTAATTGTATTTACATAGTAGCAGTTCATTCGGTTAAAAATCTTCTTAAGTTGAGATTTAAGCGGTAAAAGTCAAAACATATTGGATATAGACTGACGTCATAAAATTTTTCGACTTATTATTAGAACGCCCATGTCTTTTGACACTTATAGTAGGATAAAAATAACTATACCGCCATATTGGATAAGTCGCCATATTGGAATGAGCATGACGTCACTAAACTCACCGTACCTAGTCCTTCAAACTCAACATGTATACAAAGCTCAGATTTATTGAATAGAATCTACTTGAAAATTTAGTATAAAGTATCTGAATATATATCGACATTGCCTTAGTAAGATCTTTTTATTAAAGTAGATTATATTATTATCTGAAATTCAACATAACATAAAGAATCAAAATATCTAAAAAAAAATCTGCATTCTTGTTTATTAATAAAAAATGTTTCTTTCCAAATTATTTTATGTGTACCAACGCAGTTTTTTTAATGCCATTTTTTACTTTTCACAGATATAGCAGTGTGGCGAGTGTTAGTAATAAATATGTTGTCAAGATGAAGTTGTGGAAAAGCCTTAAGATATCAATAGGCAAAACGGATCCTAAAAACTATCCACACGGACTTCCTCAGTGGGGTCAGGGCTACGAACTAGATGGTAAGAACTATATATCCCTACTAATGTTACAAATGCGAAAGTAACTCTGTCTGTCTGTGTGTTACGCTTTCACGCCTAAACCACTGAAGTGATTATAATGAAATTTGGTACAGAGATGGAGTTGGCCTTGAGAAAGAACATAGGATAGTTTTTGTCCCAGACTTTTGAAAGGTTCTCTTTGAAACGCGATATAACCGAACTCCATGAGGGCGAAGCTGCAGGCGGAAAGTTAGTAAATATATATTAATGATAGATCTATACGTAATTAATGTTTAGGAGTCTGGCCTCGAGATCCTAAATACATAAACGGATGACTTAATCAAGTAATCTATTGTAACCTAATGTACAAGTATGAGACAAAAAAAAATTCAATATAAAGAATTCATTTTAAAAAGTACTACAGTTTTATACATTAAGGAACTGTGATACTGCAGTAACTTAAGCACTTACATAGAGATAGCTAGACTTTCAAAATAATAACATAATAAAAAAATATAATTCAGTTAATTTAATTCACTTTCTTTTGAACGCGAAGTATTAAACGAGTACACGCGAAAATCCTAGAGATCATTAAAACAAGTTTTGCTTTTTTTGTAATAAAACATTTAATAATCTTTATGAAAAGTTACATAATTTATACATTTGTATCTTTTCATATAACTCATCTGTGCCATATGCCAAAGGGCAATTTTCCTCCCAACGCCGTATTACTCTGATCTCAGAACTCTAGAATTGCAATGATTCCGCAATTTTGTTGGGAAGTGCTTTTAAAAACAAATTTATTTTCAGTCTACAGAATTTATTTTAAACAAATTTTAATAAATTGCTCTTATAGTTTATTATTATCAGTACTTACGTAACTTAAAGCAAAATACTTTAAATAAAAATATATATATAGAATACTGATAAGTCTGAAATGTTATTATGGAGAAGGATAAAATAAAATTTATAGTTAAAATTAATGATGGAATATATGTATTTATACGTATAAGCTTACTAGCAACAATTGTCCTTTCATAAAATGTATTTCATTTACTGAAACATCGAACAATTTTTACTTTCAATAATCTTATCCACTTGAAAATCACAGAAATCATTATTATTTAATTAAAAAAATTATCTGTATTTTTCTCACTACTGTTTTTAATAGTTTCAAATTTTTTTGACTTCAAAAAACATCGAAATAAAGGAATATTTTATAATACTATCATAAATAAATACTTACAATAAATACATAATTTAACACTCAAAAATTTAGTAACTTTCTAAATAACTTGATGTAATATTTATATGTATTTATTTATTTGATTAAGGCTTTTGCCTCAGCAGTGAGTTCTGATAGGCTGATGATAATAATTGATTACTATTATATAACCACCTCCTATTTTTAATTCTGCATGTGTTCCTCCATTAAAATAAATTTAATAATCTGTATTGTAATAATTTAAAATATATATATCAGCAATTTCAGATTTACATTTAGTTCTTTTTAAGGCAATTATTCTTCTTTTTATTACAGTAATTAATATAAAAATTATATTTCAATATAATATTGGTTTTGAAAGACATATAATTTTCTTTTGATATAATTTCGTCGTAGTAGTTATTGAAAATATTAAATCTATTTTTCATGTTCATGAGCCCAACATATCATAAAAGTCTACTAAATAAAAACATATATATTTTTTAAATAATGTTCAATAAAAAATTAAGCTTTGCTTAAACACTCATGAAAAACAGGCCAATTACGACCTCCGAAAAATTTGAATCGGCTAAATATTAATCACTCACAAATTGTGAGAACGGCTTATATATGAAAATGCTGGTCCATTTCATTACATAAAAGATATAATGGTACCCATTCATCCTACATGTAGTTCACTCAGCTTTCTAATTAGAACCTCGACAGAGCAATTTAAAAAGGACGCGACGACAAAGAGAGGAAAGGGAAAATGATTTGTTTTCCTCAGTCTTTTTGTGAAAAAACTGCGGAAGGCTCTTTGGCTTCATTGAATTAAATCGTCCGGTACAATTCCCAAATCCGTTTTAAAAGATATATGCTTGTATTGTTATGACAGTAAACCTCAGCGATAAAAACAAAAATAATAAAATGGTTGTTTCTTTAAAAACACAATAAAAAATACACTTTGCTATCGTTTATTTGTAAACTAATTTTTATACATTTATAAAAATATTAAAAAAGAAATGTGATAGGGTTTGTTCATCTGATTAGGTATATTTATAAAATAAAAAATAAAATCCAATAAGTCAAAAGCAATTTATATTCCTTCATTAATTTGGGATAAAAAGGTGTGAAACCTTTAAAAAACTTATTATATTTCTTTTGTGAGACAGTAAATTTATAAGAAATAGAAATTTATAGAATTTACTTTATTCAGTCTACAAGCAATTATTAAATCCACGAGCTTCGCATTAAGCTGCAGCGTTCTCAGCGAGTCTGGAAAAATAGCGTCATTTCCATAAATCTTCGTAACCGCTTCCCTTTCAAACTGTTTATTTCAGTTAAAATATTCATTCTAAAATTTTATTAGTTTTTGTTAAATTATTCATTATAATTATGTAATGCTTATGATTTGTTGTATATCACTACCTTTTTTATGAACAAGTTGTTTAAAATAAATGAAACAGAATTGTTCCAGTTTAAACTAGGTAGACAAAACGTTCACAAATTTAAAATGGGTGTGTTAGGGTCGGGTAAGCGTATTAGAATGTCCTAAAGTAGTCCTGCTCTGGAGTGAATGACTCGTTTAAGTAAAAGTAGAGCATTTTCTCTAGAGGGAAACGTCTAACACTAGACTATGTTTGAATTACTTGCTGGATTTCTAGAAACGGCCAAATTTTACTGTGTAGACTAAGTTTGGGTATTAATATTGCAATGTTATGAACTTTTTGGAATAAATGCAATGTTCAATTAAAAGTAGTACGAATATCACGTTGTTGGGGATCTTAGAGAATTTTTATAGAAAAAGCCATATTTGATAACTATATCTTAAGGCAATTTAGAATATATTGGTTGGTTGGAATATATATATAAGCTTTAGATCAATTCTTGTTTAGGTAAATGTAGCATAAAGCGTCCTTTCTTGTAATTTTTATTTAGAATAGGCTTTTGTGCTGGTAAAAGCTAGCGATTACCTGAATTAATAGATAAAAAAGATACAATCCAAAATATATTCCTGAATTATTTACATTTTTATCAATATTTTAGATGTTGGTTGTCTTGTTACTTGGCATTGTACCAACATTTATTTTTCATGTATTTTAAAATCCCTGATATATGTTACGTAACACTAACTTTACATAAACATGGATTTGCAATGTGTTTGTATATTTTTTTCAAAATAAAAACCCATTTGAAATACAAATATATATTTTATAATATAAATGATTTTAATGACAATTTAACATTGTCGGTTTACGATGGAGAAGAAATTAAAAAAAATATGACAGATATTAAATGCATTAATTTATAAGTAATATTAAAATATTTAATGCAATATTTATTATTAATGTAGTAAGAATTAAAGGAACAATAATATATTTTATTTAAAATTGTTATAAAGATAGAAACATTCTTAATAGAAAAAATTTAAAATAATTTATATATGTTTCGGCAGCAATGAACCAAAATATCTATAATTCTAACCCACAAGCTATTAACAGCTATTAACGAAAAGCGTTCAATTTACTAAGTAGAGACTAGAATGTATAATTTTTTTATACCAATTATATTTAATTAATTATTGACATCGCATAAAAAATCCAAATAAAAAATAAAATAAAATATTTTGTTTAACGATTTTTACTGTGATTTTCAGGAAGCATTTAAAATCGAAACCTCATTTATACCTCCCCTTATTTTGGAAAGAGTGATAAAACTAAAAATCTTAAAGGTGGCCGAGATTGAAGATCAATTTGGTAGGACTCTTTTTAATCATTACGACCTGTCGGCAAGTTTATAAGTGGTCATCTATTGGTGTCCGTTCTCGTTGCAGCCACGAAACACATTTTAATAATCTTTAAATTTTTGTGTTGTGAGAAGAAAGAATTTATAAAACATCAGTACATTTTTAAATTAACGCTACAGTGTAAGGTTTATAATTTATGATAAAAAAAATTGTGGTTCAGTGAAGGCAAGTTTTTTTATTGACGTACCCGTTTAATTTTCAAACACTAAGAGCTCCAACAATGTTTCCCCAAAAGCGGGGAGTAAATTGTAATTATTTGGTCTAAGAGCTCCTACTACTCGTACTTGAACTTTATAAGGGTGAATTGGATCTTCTTTTCAGCCAAACAGATACTTTATACTGTAGTTTCGCCTGTGGGTAGGTCTTTTTCTTTTCTAAATGACCTTAAATTCCTCCAAGTTTCTGTTTGAAAATCAAACTAGCAGACAGAAATTTTAGAACCTAATTAAACTTTCACTGGAAAGAGCTTTCACGTACGTAGCGTTAGTTTATCGCTTGTTTCGTTCTGAGTGCTGATTTCATGACCTAAATATGTGTCGCAATAAGCGAGTTGTATGTATATGGAAACTTGAGTTACTTATTGTTCCTACTTATCGAAATGAACAAGAATACAAAGCTAAGAGGCTAGAATAGAAACAAAACCGGGCTAATTCTCATTTCACAAGTCCAATTTATAACTGCGGGCGAACGGTCTGCTACAGATAGAAATTGTAGTAGTATCTGATAAAATTTGTGTTTAAATGAAATAGATATGAAAAGCACTAACTTGGGCTTATTCTAAATAAACATCTAGCAAGGATTTCATTAAAACAGAGATGGCCTCTCCTAATGGTTAATATCATTTCCTGATGAAAGAAAAGTTTTGAAAAGTTTTGTCTATAGAGATTGCAAGATTTTTTTTAATACCTTTTTAGAAGAACTGGTATATCGGTAGACAGTTTTATTAAAAAGAAACAAAGTGGTAATAAATATTCATATGATAATCTATAGAAGTCATACGTATTCAAAGTA